GGGGTTACTGCTCGTTGAAACCGCCATAGCTGGTAAGCCCGACAACCTCGATTTGTTGCGAGTCAAGATACAAAAGTGCCGGTACTATCTTCATACTCTCGACCACTGGCGCCACCATCGCTGTCCCCGCTAACTCGGCACAGGCGGATGGCTCAAGTCTTTCAGGACATGCCGGGAAGCCGAAAAGTAGAGCTGCGCGGCCAACACAACTTCGCAGACGAAGCCAGCACGCCGGAGCTCGGTTTCTCTTGGCCTTCTTATTCTTTGCCGTCTTTCTTGTTCCTAGCAGCAGCCTTCTTGGCCCTGGTAGTAGTTTTTCTGCCACCAATTCTCTTGCTCTTCGCGTTCGTGGCCTCGATCCCCTCCTTGACCAGGCCGTTGTTGCTAGCGTTGCTGTCCATATTTTGCTCTTTTCCATGATGCATATAAACTGTCCGGTTAGACTCACAATATCATTGAACAATATGATACGATTACAGACGACAGTACAAATCTTGACCTCGGCCTCCGCACCAGCAGCCTTCTTTCTCGCGGCCTTCATTGCCTTGGCCTGTTTGCCCATGGTCTTGGTGGCCTTGCGAAGGATCTGGCCCTGGTCTCCGTTGCAGACGATGTTGTCGTCCTTTCCCTAATGCCCACAAACACTCCTGTCAGCCACTAATTGGTCCTAACATCAAAACATACCCCTAAGGAAGAACATAACGAAATGGAAGTGACTTACCTTCATCTTGGCCTTCGGGGCAGCAGAAAACCGGATGGTTGTGGGGATTTCTCCTAAAGACCGATAGAGTGTACTCGGCCTCCAACTGCTCGGTGTGCTCGTGGTCCAAGTTACAGCCCTGGAAGGTGTCTGGGTGGTTTTCCGCCATTATTTTACTGATGGTCTTGCCCTCATAGGCGTAGGGGGCTGCAATTACATTGTTCGGAGACGATTCGACGAAGTTGGCTTCATTGGTAGTGGTAGGGTGAAAGCCGAGCTGCGCGATGGCAGCTTGAATCAAAGCAGCGCCAGCGGCAATAGGGTTGGGGGCCGGGCAGGAGCGACTTGGTTAGATATTTGGCCGATACTGTTCTGGTGTATTCCTAAGAAAGCTGCTGCTCGAGGAGCTGCTGGCAATCGAGTGGCTGACAGGTTGGAATGTTGACTGTCCCTGGAACAGAGCGTGGGCTTCCAGTAAACGTCTTTGCGTAGTTCTAAGATTCCATTCTCAGAGTTGTTTGTTAACGAAGCGGAGGAATAAAAACAGGATATGATATAGCACTATAGGCACGTGTCCATAAGGGTGGTGGGCTGCAGTAAGTAAGAGTTGGAAAGACGGGCAGTTATAAGTTAAAGAGGTATAGCTCCTCTATAACGGAAGACACATTTGAAGGGCGGACGGCATCTCCTCATAACGGCAAGACATTTTATCAAATGCAATAGTAGGATTGAAGGATTGTGTGACAAACCGTTACAAGCACAG